CTGATTCCCTTCAGTCCTTTATCCATACAGAGTCTTTTAAGCCATGCAAGGGCTCCAAATCGTAGATCCAGCTTCCCAAGGCATGTTTATCACGTAAAGTTGCAAACTTTACGTGCATGTAAAGCTCTATAGTCTTAAAATGACAACACCAAGCTTTTAAAGAAGTCTCACACTTGAGGAAAGGCTCATACTTGTCAAAGTTGATAACTTTATGGATCTAGAGACCAAAGGAAGTCCAGATCTGAAGTTGCAACTTCAGATCTTGGCTCAAACACAAAAGCCTTTCCTAAAACCCACCCAAAAAGAGGTTAAAGATGAGATGAGCCAAAGAGACAGCTTAATACCTTCCAGAGAGTGTCAACTGATGTATATATTTGCTTCCCACGAGTTCCTAGCTTCGATTTTACTTGTTTCCTCCAAGTGTTCCTCACCAAGATCTCTATTCCAAGCTCTATCAGACCAAAGAAACACACACACGATTTAGGGTTTAAAGATGTCAAGAAGCTGTAAATGGGAGGCTGGGGGAGGCCAATGATCCTTTATATAGGGTGCATAACCCCGAAATTTAGGGTTTCATCTGCCAGCTCCTACTCGTCGAGTCCATTCTTGGACTCGGCGAGTAGGTCACTAAAATACGTGGACCAACCCGCTGCTACTCGACGAGTAGGGAAACCAACTCGTCGAGTAGACCTTGAAATCAAGAAAATCTTATATATAAATCAATACCTGAGAATCGGGGCGTTACAACAATCGTTTAAGCGATTATTTGACAAGTAAAGGTTACAAAAATAACACTATTTGTCCATGTGTATTTATTAAGAAAACAACATCTGGATATGTGATCATAGCAGTCTATGTTGATGATCCGAACATCATTGGAACGAATAAAGAAATCCTTGAAGTGATTGAACTTTTAAAGAAAGAATTTGAAATGAAAGATCTTGGAAAAACCAAATATTGTCTTGGTTTACAGATTGAGCATATGCCTAACGAAATACTTGTGCATCAATCAAATTACACAGAAAGAGTCTTGAAACGTTTCAATATGGACAATGCAAATCATTTAAGCACTCCAGTGGTTGTTAGATCATTAAATATTGACAAGGATCCATTTCGTCCATGCGAAGAAAATGAAGAAGTTCTTGATCCATAAGTACCGTACCTTAATGCAATTGGAGCTCTTATGTATCTTACCAATTGTACTAGACCTAACATTTCTTTTCGCTGTAAACTTGCTAGCAAGATTTAGTTCAGCCCCAACAAAAAGACACTGGAATGGAATCAAACATATTTTTCGGTATCTTCGAGGAACGAGTGATTTAGGGTTATTTTATCCTAACAATTCAAAACAAGGCTTGATTGGTTATGCAGTTGCAGGTTATTTGTCTGATCCTCATAAGGCTAGATCACAAACTGGATACATATTCATGAATGGAGGTTCTGCAATTTCCCGGCGTTCTCAAAAGCAAACACTTGTTGCCACATCCTCAAATCATGCTGAAGTAATTGCACTAAATGAAGCTAGTAGAGAATGTGCATAGTTAAGATCGATGACACAACTAGTTTTAACTTCATGTGGACTTGAAAAGGATATAGGTCCAACTTTAATTTATAAAGATAACTCAGCACGTGTCACTCAAATGAAAGAAGGATATATCAAGAGCGACAGGACAAAACATATACCTCCAAAGTTTTTGAGTACACTCAATAGCTGATAAAGAACCATCAAGTTGAAATCAAATATGTTCAATCCAGTAACAATGCAGCAGACCTTTTTACGAAGGCGCTTCCTACTGCAATCTTCAGGAAACATGTCCATGGCATCGGAATGCGACATGTGCATAGAATATAATGTGACAGATGTCTAAATAAGGGGGAGTCAACTATACACTGCACTCTTTTTCCTTCGCTAAAGTTTTTTCCCACTGGGTTTTCTTTAGCAAGGTTTTTAATGAAGCAGTACATCAAAGTTGAACGCTAAAATGATGTCATCCAAGGGGGAGTGTTGTAAATAATTGGTGGTGGTGTAAATAATTGGTGGATGGCATAATAATTGGTGCATGGTAAATTTGTCAACATTTCTAACTAGTTACAATTATATGTTAGTAAAATTTTTAGTATAAATACCCCTCCATTGTAAAGGATGAGATATACCAAAAAAAGTTATAAGAGATATAACTTTCATATTCTCTCTAAATATTCTTTCTTCTCAATTAAAGTTCTTATCAAAGTTTACTAGTTTGGTTTGGTTTAAAATTACATTAATTACGCTTAATTCATAATATATATATATATATATATTATATATATATATATATATATATCATATCATATCATATCATCATATCATATCATACTATATTATAAAGGAAGCATTTTTCCTTTCACCACATTCATTTGAAACTCCCATGACTTTTCAATTTCTTTCTAATAATAATAATTATAAGTTGGTTAATAATGTTAAATAAATATCAAAACTAAAGTGTAATCATATATAAACTAAATTTCAATATTAAAATAATATCTTTACTTCTACTTATAAAATTATATTTTTTAACTTTTAACATATTATACTTAATTTATTAGTTTTAATATATTGTTGGATGTAAATCATTATCATTTTAAATATACAATTTTGGAACAATTTGTATAAAATACTTAGATTATTAATTTAAATATAACATTACATGGTTAACTTAAATATAAATTTTAGTTTAACTTAAACAACCCAAAAACTATTTTGTAAATAGTTAAATGTGATAAATTGTAGTGTATTTCTAATAATGATTATAAGTTGGTTAATAAGGTTAAATAAATATCAAAACTAAAGTGTAATCATAAATAAACTAAATTACAATTTTAAATAATATCTTTACTTCTACTTATAAAGTTATGTCTTTAACTTTTAACATATTATACTTAATTTATTAGATTTAAAATGTTGTTGTATGTAAACCATTATCAGTTTAAAACTACAACTTTTGAACAATTTGAACAAAATACTTAAATTGTTAATTTAAATATAACATTACAGTGAAATTTAAATATAAATTTCAGTTCCACTTAAAAAAACCAAAGAATATTTTGTAAATAGTTAAAAGCGATAAATTGTAGTGATAAATGAAAAAACTAAATTATAATATCAATTTAACTAAAATATTTCCTAAATATATTTTTATAATCGTTAAAAGTTTTTAAATAAGTAGCTTAAAATAACTTACAATAACAATAGTTAAAAATAACTATATATAAAGGATTTTATTGTTACATTTAAAATCAAAAAACAATGTTTTATGTTTTAAATAATTATAATGATAGAAATTAAAACATTAAGCAAATAAATTTTAAAAAATTAATTAACAATAATAACAACTATAAATAACATTAAACCATATATTATATTTAATTTTATTCATGTGTAACTCGCGGGTAGAAGTTATTCAAACGATTAAAATTATGCAGTTATAATAGATGTATATATTATCATATAATTCAAAAGAATCAATATATTATATCAATTTAATATACGAATTATTATATCAAATTTAACAACAACATTACTGTTATATTTAAAAAAACAAATATTTGTAAAGACTTCAACTATATAAGTGTTTCTGTGCAACGCGCGAGCATTCGCCTAGTATGTATATATATATATATATATATATATATATATATATATATATATATATATTGGATTTTTTTATAGTTAGATGGCGATAAATTTTGGTTTGGATGTACTTTCCTAATCAATTTCAAATTCAAGATTAAGTTCAATCACTATTATAAATATTTGGTTTGTTTTCCAAAGCGATCATACCCATTATTAGTAAGAAACTGAACAATCTCGAGAAAATGGACCAAGTGAAGCTTAAAAACAATACACCGATTTCTTATATGTACTTTTGACGTCATAAAATAAACCTTAATTTGGATTCTCTGAGAGTTTTCGTGATTCTTGTCAATAGCCATTGAGACTATTGATCCTTCATCAAATTTGAAGTTATGTTGTTTCTTGAGTCTTCTTCCCGTTACGTTCTTCGTTTATCCATAAAAACCTCTAGAAATTTCTAAATATGCTCCATACCATTCCCCCTAACTTTGAGAAGAACTCAACCAGCCACCTCCTTTTATGGGAAGTACCTTTAGAGATTAAATGTATTGAACAACTTGCAAATAGACAATGTGCTAGGAAGGTCAACAATATATGTGTCATTGTTGATGTTTTGCAATATTTTGTGAACCATGACCTCGTCCACGTCTTCATATGTCTTTGAACCTATATGCTACTTTGTCGTTGCCTTGTACATTGCATTGGCTAGAGAAATATTCTGCATTCACTTCTATATGTATTTTCTGTTATTTTCTTTATTGAGATAAAAAACGTATGAATATCCATGTCGCTATAATTTCAAAGATTTAGTTAATACCGAACAATTCGACAAGCACATATTATGATATGATATTATTATATACCTTACACAAATTAAAGATTAACTTAATATTTTTTTTTATACAGGTATTATGTCTAATCATGACATATCCTCTCTAATAAATGAATGTTTTTTTTTTTGCTACTTATCACACTATCATTCAATTTTCCAAATGTCATATTGTGGTTAGTTTTAATTAATTTTTTTTCACATGTTATTTTATGAGTTTTTTTTTTCTATTTTATTAAATTCAACATAATATAACAATTACAATAAATGTATTAAAAAATGGATATCAATTTCATTAATAAACTTACATTTTAATTTCAAAATTCCTAAAATTAAAGCTCATTAGTTTTTTTTTATTTAAATTTAAAAGATAAAACATTTTCATTATAATAATTAATTATTTTTCTTATTTTCTTATAAATTCAAAGTTTTTAAATATTTTATTTAATTTTTTTTAGATTAACCCATATAATATATAATTCATACAACTCCTAGCCACCCAAAAAGTATACTCCAATTTAATCCATTATAAGTTCATTAAAATAATGAATCTAAATTCTAGTTATCATTGGAGTCGTTATATTTGGCAATTGCTTTGGCCTCCCGGAGCATGAGTTTCAACATCTTGTCGTTAATCTCAATTGCTGACTCAAGTTTACTAATCGCCCTGCTCCGGTCTTCCACAGCCCCTTTCAACACTTTCTCTATTTCCGCCACCTCCTTCACCGCCTTACCCAACTCCTTCCCTCCGCCATAACCACCGCATTCCCCACTTCCAACCCATCTCTTTCCAAAACCACCACCACCTTTCGCCACCACAACTCCACTAACTCCTCCAATCTTCTCACCGAATCCACGTATCATCTTACCACTCTCCACCTCCCAGAGACAAAGTTCACCATTTTCAGAAACCGTTAAAAGAATCCTCCCGTAACTCAGCATTTCCATCGCCACCACTCCTCCGCCGTGCATCCCGCCACACACCACCGTCTTTCCACTTTCTGCAACCTTCTTTCTCGTCTCTACTTTAAGCCTTCTTTTGTATATCATTCCATCTACACCCGCAGCGAACAACTCCGTCTCCGACGGATCCAACACCATGCACCACACCTCGTTGGGGAATCTCACCGTTTGTAGATGGATCCCGTTCACGAGGCTCCACACCTTACACGTACGGTCCAAGGAACTAGAGATCATAAATCCACCGGATCTTCCCACCCCGGTGGTTAATCCCGTCACCGGTGACTCATGTCCGGTGAATCTAGTGAAACGGGAATATCTCGATTCTGTATCAAACGAAGCATCTAGAAGCAGGAAAACCGGAAGAATAGCAATTGTTCCATCATCACTTCCTGAGAGAATCAATGATCCATCACAATTGATCGCAAGGCAAGATACAGGCTTCTCATGAACCGGAAATGACCTAATTACATCTCCTGAATGCACCGATACCGAATAGATCTGACCTGAAATTCCGCCGGAAAATACATACGATCCGTCGACGGAAGCAACAAGCGGAGCTACAGGTTCTGGAAGAGGAACACTCTGTGTACAAGATGTTGACCACCAGTAATAGATGCGGAGATAGCCTGCACGAGTCTCCGGCGAGACATGAGAGGCGGCGAATAGGTCGTTTCCGAGAATGCAGATGCCGTTACGAGGACACCGGTCGTCATTGAAGCGACCGACAACATTTCCAGTGTATGGATCGTAGGCGGTGAACGGACCTTCAGGAGAGGCTGTGAGGACAATTTCCGGCAATGGAGGTGGCGATAACATTTACACAGAATCACAGCATCGATGATGGACTAGCAAACGCGATTTATAAGTAATCGACAACGACATCATCGTAAATCGTAACCAAATTCAAAGCTTTTCACCTTTTCGTCTTTCTGAGTTTCTACTTTTTGGGGACAAAGATGAACAGAAAGTGTCATTGGTCGTCGTCGACGACGTCCAGGCTCATGGTTGCATGAGTTTGAATCAGACAACACGAAGCTCAATATTGACGATAAAATTTTATTTCTTTATAAAAAATATAAAAAGAATGGAATATTTGCCATTTAATTCAATGACAATTGTATATATTTTTAAACAAAATTACAATAATGCCACTTACTCAGGAAATACCCATTTGGGATATTTTATGCTATACCATATTTCATTATTTTCTATATATAATCCAATAATTGAATATATAATATTCATTTTCTAAAACATAAGATTGTAAAGTAAAAGCGTCCATGTATCTGGAACTCCGGCGAGGCACCAGTGGCTGCAATCCACCACTCCTAAGCCGTACGCCGCCGGATGTCCGTCTTTCCGCAGCAGTGAAAGGTTAGTAATGTCGAGCAAAGTCACCGGTTTCTTGATGGTTTTGAGTGAGTTCTTGAGAACCTTCAACGCCGGCGGCGAAGCTCCGGGATAGGTAGAGCTCAGAAGAGGAACTTTCTCGCCGGAGCAGGATTTTGCCTTCGGTTCTCCCCAATCGGTGCCGCTGTGTAATTCCAAAATTTTCAGATTTAGATTTTGACCTAATTATTCTTCGTAAGTTGTACTAGATGCATTTCGAATTGTACCATAAAACTTGAAATAATTTTTTTTTTAAAAAAAAAAAAACTTACTTATAATGAGAAGGCGATATTCCTTGAAAAAACACTTTTGTTTTATTCTGAATAATATTTTTTATCAACCCATTGACCCCATGTAGTAATGGCTTTTCCAAAAGCGACTACACGATCCATATCCTTGTATATACGACTTCCATCTTGTATATAATCAAATCTATATAACTTTTTTTTTATCAAAAACTGTAATAAAATATTTTTTATTAAAATACAAATAAAATAAAAACTTACGGTTGGCTTGCTCCTCTGCGATTCCACCAATGCCACGTGTTGAACACAAGGTAATCAACGTTCAACCACAGCTTGCCAGCTGTCAATGTATCCAACTTCAACACCCTCCCAATTTTTTCTTTCACTATATCTACTAGGTACAAGTTGTGATGGTATATTACTTTCACCTTATAATCCTACAATTATCATAAAAAAACTCATTACAAAATATTTCAAGATAGTTTTTGTTTTGAGATTAAAAAAAAATGAGGTTGAATTTGAATATAAATATATACCGTAAATGTGTAGGTTGTCATGTCTTGAATTAAGGAGATGTTAACAGCGTAATTTGCAGTTGGCACTGATGAATGAATCATGCAGAGCAACGACAACCATTGGTTTCGACTGAGTGAATCTCCTACAAACATTATTGTTTTCCCTCTTAGTTTTTGTAAGAAGTTTCGACCATCAAATCTAGTACAAGAAGGGGAATATATTAATTAACATTCTTAATAATGGATTAGTAGTTTCATTTATATCAAATACAAGAAAATATATTCATCATTAGGTTTTGTACATATTTTTCTATTTTCTAAAGAGGCAAGCTACAAGTAACAGTTAATACATTTTAAAATATAGATATTATGATTTTGGGTGAATTTATAAGTTAGCATTTGTATAAGTATGACTTTACTTAGTAAGGATATTGGTAGACACCTTCAAACACAAATATAAAAATCTTTCAATTCGTTGTAAACAAAAATTATGTTTTATCAATGTTATAACATGTAAAGACGAGTATCCCATCATTATACTTTGACTAAAATTTCTTTCTAAAACAAAAACAATTTGCTAGTTGTAAAATGGACCCAATCACATGCATAATCACATGAAGGTGTTTCATAAATCACATCAATTTTGGTTTATAAAAGTTTGATTAAAAAAAGTTTGGTGTCAAATATGGATGCCTAAACTTTCATTCCCATACTCATTGCATTAAAAAATGGTTGTTATCAATCAATTCTTCATCAAGAAACTCGAAATAAAAGACAACCATTGCTTGTGCCCACAACCACAAACCATCACCAAATGAACTTGAAATGACAAGCTTAATATATCTAAGAAGCCCCACAATTAATTTATCGTTATATTAATTTCCGCTATATCAAGTTAAAAAAACTTTAATAATTCGTACTTTACGAGATATTTCCGTGTTTGATACGAAAACTTTCTTACTTTATATTTTTTTATTTTAAAGATACATTGTATTTTTTTCAATGAAAATGATATTAATGTATATCTTGCTCTTTGTCACAATCTACCTCACCTATCAAGCCCCACTAATTTCTAGTGTCAACCTTAGTCCCATAAAGGCTAAAACCATCACTATCCATATTTTATTTTCATTATCTAATATTATATACCAAATAAATTGAGCTTTTATTAAACTTTTTATATTTTTTTCTAAACATATAATTTAATAAAGATATCTTCAGTTATTCATTAAATATGTATGATATAGCTTATAGCATGTGATCTCAATTAAAATTATAAATAGGGTCATTGTTATAAATGGTAACAAAGTATTGTTGTTTTTCATAACAAATCATAGATATAGAGAATATTGTCGTAAAATATGCAAACATAACTTTTTTCATAACAAATCATTAATACCATTATTTCAACGATACTTTCTGAACCAATATGAAGAGTTTATTACCAATTTATGATTTATGATGATACTTTTTAAATAATATTGTTTTATAAAACCAAATAAACTGTTATTCTCTAATATTTTTAATCTTTATAAATATAATTTGGTTTTGAAGATTTATGTATTATTTTAAAAATAAGTTGGATTTAATTTGCGAGGGAAATAAATAGTAGAAAAAAGATGTAGAGATCGAGAAGACATCCTCCGTGACAACTCACCTCGTACATTGTGCCATGCTTTTTTCGTTGTTTCCTTCCTCACATAACCCTTTTGTCGGATTTTAATTAATATATTATCCGTACTAAAAATTTAAAATATTTGCTAACAATTTACTACTAAAATTTTTTTGTTTTTTTATTTAAAGTTTAAACGCATTTTAAGAAATATATAATTACTTCACAAAATGAATACTATACTTTTTTACACTTGAGAAAGTAATATAATAATTGCCCATAAAACGAACACAACCCTCCCCAATCACATTTGAGATCTATGTCCTCAATTTCATGTTCACAATCATTTCCTTTTTATTATTTTATTTTTTTCTCTCTCTCACAAGAAATGTCGGTGGAAAATTTTAAATCAATGAATAAATTATTTTCCATCTTAATATTATAAATATTTAAAACTAGTACGAAATAAAAATATATAAGGATAAATAATAAATTCAATCACATTTGGTAACTTTTTAATATCGCAAAATAATTGATTTTATAGGATTAAATCACTAGTTATTAAACAGTGAGATTGAAATTATGGATAAATATTCTTGTATTTATTGCTACTGTATTGTTCATCTTTACTGCTTTTCTGTTTATTTTTTAATTAAAAACAATTAGTTAAAATAATTAATTACTTAAAACAAAATATAAATTAATATATAACGTTGTAGGTAATTTAGTAAATTATGGTAATTTTTTAATATCTTAATAATAATTGATTTTTTAAGTACCATGTTTTTCAAAATCACATGATACCATATGATTTAACACAATAAAATTATTAATTTCTGGTAAACAATGTTTTGAATCTAATCATTGAATAAATTATTCATTTTACAGACAACTATTTGGAACAATAATCAACGATTTTGGACACAAAAGCAAGGATATATGTTTTAGTATTCTAATTCTAAACTTTCGGATATATGTTTACTTTCTTTCTATATTTTTTAAATATAACAATTAAATATTAAAAATTAAAAGAAATTACGTCTTAATCAAATCAAATCCATAAGTAAAAAGTTATTAACAGAAAAGGAATAGTTTCACCCAATAAAATACACACATTGCACACACTAATTCCCTTTCTCAAATGACAGCTATGAAGCACCACCCATTTTCAAGTGTGGGGGACCAACTCTTGGTGGAGGGAAAACGAACCACCGCCAACGACAACCATTAACAATCACCAATGGCGGCCGTCGACAACAACCTCCATCAATAGCCATCAAAGCCCCAGATATACACCAATAACATTCATGAACAGTAACTATCAACATAAATAGTAACATTCAGATGATCAGATTGATAGATGGAGGAAGTACCTGGATAACCGGCAGTCATGGGGTTGCCATCGGTATTTGAGATACAATCGGTCAGGGCGGCCATTGTTGACGCAGTTGAACTCCTTTTCAAGGAAAGGGCAGGTGGATTCATTGTAGAGTGGATATGTTTGATCCAATACCCAATTTCCTTCGAACAGATCACACCCCATCATTGCTTCGTCGGATTTGATTGCTCCGAGTGCCATTAATGGGGATAGAATGCTAATAATCACCACTAACAAACGCAAATCACTGTTTACCCTCAACTCCATTTTCAATCTCTCTCGCAAAAACCAGAAATTGCAGAGAGAGAAAGAGAGGGAGAATGAGGAGGGAGGAATGAAAAACACTTTTTGGTTTTCTGGCTTATTCTGTTAATCAATGTGGACATGGGTATTTATAGGTGAGGTTTCCATGTGATTATAATATTACAATATTTATTTCATTCTTATTAAGTGAAAATTTTAAATGCATATAGTGATATACTAATAAATTTTATACTAGTATTTGGAAATTAAATAAATGATGTATGAAGAAAATATTAGACATGGAAATTGGTTGAACTGTGTGATAAATTTCATTCATTGTGTTAATAATACAACTCTTTATAGTTTTGTTGACCAATTTGATGTGTTATTTTCTTACATTATGTATTCTATTAAATTTAATGTTGCATCTATAATTGTATTTTGTAGGAGTTACATAAGATATTATGACCTATTAATTGTAAATTTGATGAATGAAGTTTTTTGAATTTGTAGATTTATAATAATTGTTCTGTAGTGATAAATTATGTCCTTTGAACCAATATAATCATTGAAAGGGTAAAATATGAAATAAAAGAATAAATACTAAGGGGCTGTTTGATAGCTGCTGACTAAGTTAGATCTGACTGAGTCAGAGCCCTGACCGGGTCTGAAGCTCTTACTGAAACATATTGTTTGCTCACACCTCTGACTGGATGTGTTAAATGTTAAATATGACAATTTTACCCTTTTGTTCTGTATCATAATTATTTTAAATTAACATGTAAAATGGTTTGAAACTTGGTTGTTATTCACCTACAAACACACACACACACACATGTTCCATATTTTTGAAACTTGGTTGCTACTTTTTCAATACTCTTTTTCTTCTGTTAACATCAAACATTTTTAACATCAAAATTAGAAATTATATCTAATTTTGGCATTGTACTTTGAGATTGTATCAATTCACCAAGTTTATTATTCATTTCCACTAAAATCAATCATACAACTCAAAAGAACAAAACTATGTATAGCATATGATTAAAATAAACTAGAGAATGAATGTCAATATATCTTCTTGAGTCACTCGATTTATTCTCTAATGCCTTCACCACATCTCTAGTCTCTTCAACATCTCTTTTTCATTGCTCCTAGTACATATCAAACAACATCTATTTTCAGCAAATATTCAACAGATAACATAATTTCAGCAAATATTCAACATTCAATTTCAAAAAACGAAAAAAAAAACAGAATTTTTTTTTGAAAATACAACTATAAAGTTCTGATTTCAGCAATGAAAGTTCAAGAATTCATAATTTTGCATCTAATTTCAGATTTTAGCAAATTAATACAATCAAAAACTTGATTTATACATAAAAGAATTTGATTTTTGCATCTAATTCAGATTTCAACAAAGTAATACAATCAAAAATCTGATTTATACAAACAAATAGCATCTATTTTCAGATTTCTTCATCTAATATCAAATTTTAGCAAAGTAATAGCATAAAAAAAATCTGATTTTTGCATCTAATTTCATGTTTCAGCAAACAAAGAACATCTAATTTTATAATCCAGAAAACACAACGTGTAATTTCATATGTTACCTCGTATTAGAAAAAAGAAAGAAAAAGAAAACAGGAGAATAACATGTATCAGATTAACGAAAAGAAAAAAAGAAAACATGAAAAAAAAACTTACAAGTTCGATATTGCCGTCGGAGTTGCAGTAGGAGTTGCAGGTGGCTGACGATTCGCTGGCAAATGGCGGAGGAAGGCAGTGGTGGAGGTCTACGAAGGGAAGCAGAAAAGGTAGATACAGAAGCAACGATGGAAGGGAAGAAGCGAGAAGCGTGTATAGTTAGGGTAAAAGCGGGAAAGGTTCAAAAATTAATCAGTCAGCGTTATTTTTTGATGGACTCGGTAAGAGGGTAATGGACTCTGTAAGAGGCTAAAGATGTTAAAATCAACCACTCTTACTAGGTCGAGTAAGAGGTAGCCTCTTACTGGACTCAATAAGAGGTAAATCAAACAGGTCCTAACTTGCTTTGTGTCCGTGCAAGGTTTTGTGAATTAAGGGCTAGATGTGACAAATGCTGAAAATAGCTCAAATGTAGTTGAAAGTTGGTTGAGGACTAAAGTTGTCAAGGTGCAACAACTTGTGGACTGGGGCTTACATAAAAACCCCACAAGTGTGTACTGATCATGCCGACGCCTTCCCGCGATCCTCACTGGTACCTGAAACACATAACACAAAACACTGTAAGCATAAATGCTTAATGAGTTCCCCAAAATACCACATATAACACATATCAGCGACTCGAGACTATAACTCTGTGGGCCTACTGGCCCTAACTCTGTGGACCCTCTGGTCCTAGCTCTGTGGACCTTCCGGTCCTAACTCTGTAAACTCTGGAATACACACAGCATAAATCACATAGAAATAATGCAGTGCAACACATCACATACATAGCATACAAGATACTCTGTCACATAACTCTACTTACCACTCATGGTAAAGTATAGTGAGAAGACTCACCTAGGATAACTCGGAAAACCTCGAACTCGGAAATACTGATCTAGCCTTCGCCTAATCACATAAAATAATTACTCTAATCAATACGGCTCTCAAGGCTAGGCTATTCCCTCTCTAAGTTCTCTCAGGAGGGGGAAAAGACCATTTTACCCCTCCAATGGCTCAAAAGCCCAAACATTGATTGGACCCTAAAAGTCAACGAAAGTCAACGGTCAACTTTAACCAGACTCGTCGAGTTCACATAGGTGACTCGGCGAGTCCAAGCGTGCCCTCTGGGTCTATCTAAACCTCACTCGACTCACCGAGCGAACCTTCCACCCGACGAGTCACCACTGGCCATGAATCGCGGGTCAACCCGACTCGACTCGTCGAGTCTCCTTATGGACTCGGCGAGTTCCTTCCATGGCAACACTCAAACGACCGTCTGAGGTCAGATCTGCTTCACCAACTAGTAGATCTGACCTTCTAGCACTCAAAAGTCACGTAAAGGTTCGAACTTTAGGCCCATGCATCACACTATCATCTCTAGATGCCAAAATGACCCTTAATATAATAACCTAGGCCCCAAAACTCATAAAGGATTGCATAAAGCTGAAGAATAGGGAATCTCTGGACCTCTCAAGGTCCAGATCTGATAATATTGTCACAAGGGGACATCACACACACTAGATCTCTTACCAAAGTGAAGAGATGAAACCTTAGATTCATGAAATCTTTTACTCAAATGAAGATAGACATGAATCCTTACCTCCCACAGCAGCTCTGAACGAAATGATGGAAGATTTGAGTCCCACAAGTCATCCTAGCTCGAAATCCTTCCTTCTCTTTGCTAAAACACACCAAGGAATGATGAATTAGCCCTCCTCTTGCACTACAAGCTTTCTCTCTGCTCTCTAGGGTTTCTCAGGGGTGCAGTGGCCGCAAATGAAGGCCATAAAGGCCTTTAAATAGGGCACAGGCCCCAAGACTTAGGGTTTCTGCCGCCAGCACAGACTCGTCAAGTCACCTAGCCGACTCGTCGAGTCCATTCATTAAATCCAGTCATCAATCGCGATCCTACTCGACGAATCTAGGCTCCGACTCGTCGAGTCCCCCCCTAAAACTCAAAATAAAAGGTTAAAATAAAATACCTGGGAATCCGAATGTTACAATTCTCCCCCACTAGAATCAGACTTCGCCCTCGAAGTCTCGCTCTGCAAACAACTCTGGATGTTGCTCCCGCATCTCCAACTCCAATTCCCAAGTCAACTCGGACCCTCTCTGATGTTGCCAATGGACCTGAACCAGGGGCACCTCCTAGTTCCTCAGGATCTTGACCTTTTGATCCCGGATCGCGATCGGTCTCTCCACATAATTCAGGCTTGCATCCACCTGAATATTCTCCAGCGGCACCACCGCCGACTCGTCGACTATACACTTCCTCAACTGAGACACGTGGAAGGTATCATGTATCTGGCTCAACTCCTCAGGTAGCTCCAAACGATACGCTACACTGCCCACCCTCGCTGTCACCCGGAACGGACCAATGTACCGGGGTCCCAGCTTGCCCCTCTTCCTGAATCGGATTACTCCTTTCCAAGGGGATACCTTCAGGAGAACGAAGTCTCCCACCTGGAACTCGAGCTCGGATCGTCGCCTATCCGCATAACTCTTCTGGCGACTCTGAGCTGTCAACAATCTCTGCCTGACCTGCTGTACCTGCTCTGTCGTCTGAAGCACTATCTCGGTGCTACCCATCACTCGCTGCCCTACCTCTCCCCAGCAGATGGGGGTCCGACACATCCTCCCATACAACAACTCAAAGGGAGTAATGCCAATACTCGAATGGTGGTTGTTGTTATAAGAAAACTCAGCCAACGGCAAATACGTGTCCCAACTCCCTCCAAAGTCCAACACACATGCTCGAAGCATGTCCTCGAGCGTCTGAATCGTCCGCTCACTCTGTCCGTCCGTCTGTGGGTGGTATGCGGTACTGAAATGCAGCCTCGTACCCAACTCCTCATGGAATTTCTTCCAGAACCTAGAAGTGAATCGCACATCTCGATCTGACACAATCGAAATCGGTACTCCATGCCGCGATACCACCTCTCTCACATACAATTCTGCCAGCCTCTCTGCGGAAGAGCTCTCACTGATGGCAAGGAAATGAGCGCTCTTTGTCAGCCGATCAACGATCACCCAAATTGCATCGACACCCCTCGCAGTCCTTGGCAATTTGGTGATAAAATCCATGGAAATCTGTTCCCACTTCCACTGGGGAACCTCAAGTGGCTGCAACTTGCCATGTGGACGCTGGTGTTCGGCCTTAACCCTGCGACAGGTCAAGCACCTCTCCACGAACCATGCAACATCCCTCTACATACAGGGCCACCAATAGTCTATCTTCAGGTCCAAATACATCTTAGTGGCCCCGAGATGGATCGAGAACCTCGATCTGTGTGCCTTCTCCATAAGAATGGTACGTGCCCCGCCCTCAAAATGGCACCCAAATCCGACCCTGAAAGGTCATAAGCCATCGGCTATCGGCAACGAACTCAGACACCTGCCCGATCACCCGCTCTCTCTTACAGTTCTCTGG